GGTGAATTTTTAGCAAATATAATAAAAGAAATAATTGATAAATTTGGACTAGCTAAATTTTCAGCAATTGTAATAGATTCAGAAATAAATATTTGAAATGCACAACAAATAATTACAGAAAAATACAATAATATTCTTAATGTGCATTGTATAGCATATGCTATTAATTTGATTTTAAAGGATATTTGCTCTACTTCATTTGCAAATCGGATTTTAACAAAATACAATACTATTGTAAAATATTTCAAAAAAAATCATCAAGAAGGTAATTTGTTTTCTAATTTTATTATTATTATTTTTTTATTTCTTGTATTAATTTTATTTACTAATATTTTTAATAAAAAGGTTCTGCATTAAAAGATGTAGCTAAAGCTTGTGATATCAGTGATGATAAATTGAAAAAGTGGGTAGATACTAGATAATATATTATGTATGATTGTATTAATTCAATTATGCGTTATAAAGCACTATTAGAAAATGTAAGATTTTAAAAATATTTTTAAATTTATTTTAATTACTAAATAAATAAATACTTTTAAATTTTTTTATTTTTATTTAGTTAAAATATAAAAAACCTGAAATTCTTTCAACAGCAATATTAGCAATTTTATAATTACGCGCATTTTTGATAATATACACATATTAGCATTTATATTATATCTTATTAAACAATCAATTGCAGAATTAGAATCTCAGTCCTGCACTCTTGTTGATTGTTTTCTTGGACTTGCAAAACTTGGAGCTGCAATTAAAAAATTACTTAATAATGATCATAAAACTTTTCATCAGCAATATATTTCAATTTTTAACTATCATTATGCTGAATTTGCTGATTTAATATATTTATTATGCTTTTTTTATATCTGTCTTATACTGGTAAGTTTAAATTATATTGATTATAATTTTATATATAATAATCATTTATAATTAAACTGAATACAATATTTTTATTGTAAATTATTTATTAATTATTTAATAATTGATGAAATTATATAATTATGTTTTTAAAATTATTAGTAATAATGTAATAAATAGAAATTTATAAATAAAAAATTTAAATGCTTATTTTTTAAAAAAATTAATAATAAAGTATTTTATGTGAAAATAATATAATTTATATTAAAATATTATAATATAAAAAATAATATTTTTTTATTTTTTTTTAAATCTATTATAACAAATAAATATTTATAGAAACTTTCTGAACACAGGAAATTTTTAGAAATTTATTAATGATAGCAGATGAAATTTTTATGAAAATGGGAAAAAATAATATTGAATGAAAAGAATTAATATATCAAATGAAAAAATATCGTAATTGAGAAGAACCTTTTGATATTAAAATAGGCGCTACTGAAACTCTATACATTTAGTAGTTTTCTATTAAGAATAGTTTTCCTAAAGATGAAGATTATCTAGTTCAACTAGCATTCAAACTCTTTTCTATAATACCTCATGCAGCTGGATGTGAACGAGTTTGATCAAGTCTTAGATGAATATATGATAAAAGATGGACCTGTTTAGGCTTAGAAAAAATTGAAAATATGTATAAACTCTTAGCCTATCATCACACAAATGCAAAAAAAGAATTACCATATTATAGTATTAAAAATCTACTGAAGAAATTCATCAAATTTTAGTTGATACACATTTGAATCCTGATCAAAAACTTCTTGAATTAGAAGATTATTTACTTGACTATTATAATAATAAAGAGGAGATAGTAATTGGAGAAGAGGAAAAATTAAATATTGATAATATTTTGAACTTAGACGTGTTTGTTGAAAGATAGTATAAATAGTATTGAAAAAGAGGTTCAGGATAATAATAGAGTAGACATTCCTATGGATGAAAATGAAAAAAATAATATTGAATGGAATCCAGCTGCTGAAACTAATAAAATCATTGATAGTATGTAAATAATAAATTGTAAATTTACAATTTATAAATAAATTTTGTTATTTTATTTTGTTTATTAATTTGTTATGTATTACTAAAGATGGCATTGCAACATTGTGACACTTATTTGTCACCTGTTACAATTTAAATTTTAATAATGTTGCAATTTGTTGCAACATTGTGATGCTTATTTGTCACCTGTTGCAATTAATTGAGGCGCCATCTTTATGTATTATAAAAAAAAATAAATAAATGTTTCGCTAAGTTACGAAAGTTTCAGGAGTTTGAGCAAGTTTCGTCTAGTTTTGAAAATTTCACCAGTTATGAATTTTGCACTGATGACAAAACAAGTTTCACTAGGTTTCAGAAGTTTCACCAAAAGTTTAGTTCAGTTTTGCCCAAATACTAACACTTCCTCTTTTTTTGTATTTTTTTGTATAGATGTACTACGCCTTTTAGCTGTAATGCATTTCTTCAATGATTATTTGCACACTCTATGATATTTTCACGAATAAATACTAAGGAATCACATATAGTACAATAAATATAAATGAACGCCTCTCAACTTTAAATTTCCCATCTTTATATAGTTTTCAGTCATATGGATAAATCCATTTTTCAAAAAAGTATTTTGGGTTATATTCAAGAAGTTTTTTAAATGGATAACGAACATGAGAACACCACATTTCTAATGTTTTACTACTATACCTATATTGCAGATTGTTTAACGCCTACATTACTACAGGATTTAAACTAGAATAGTAGTTATTTTTATCCATTTTTACGATATAGTCTGATGCAAAAAGATATATATCTCAAAAAATCGTTAATAAAAAAAAATTTTATTAATAAACTTCTTTTTTTTTCTTATTTAAATTTTATTAGTACATATTTGGAAATATAAAAATATGAATATTAGGCATTATAATCAGAATTATCATAGTGATCAGACTTATCATCAATTAATTGTACATCTTCATCAAACTTGAAATATTCCTTAGCGATTTTAAGCGCTTTTCTCCAAAATTCAACAACAACCTTCGAATTAATTTTTTTTTAAATGCACTTAGAAGTGTATTTCAAATGGATAAAAGGTTTGAATGCAGATCTGACCTTACAACTTCATCCTTTATAACGGCTTAAATACCCTTAATTGACTGAAGTTCACAATGATAGGGAAGGATAAAAAAAACTTGATGATTATATTGTTCTGCTATTTTAATACAAGAAAATGGCACCTTTTCTTTATGTACTTTAACAAGCTCCAAAAGTTCCAGTCTTCGTAATTCATTAGAAAAAGCAATATTATGAGCGGTTAACAAGTTGGCTATTTCTTTTTTTTTGTGCTTGAAGTTAGAACGCTTTTAGCTCGTCATTTATGATATCTTGCTTCATCTATGTAAATGTTTACTGGCCCATACTTTTTATGAAGTGTTTTACAAAGTATCAAAAAAAGGTTTTCAAAAATTTCTATATTAAAGTTTCCATGATAATCTACTTGATCAGAAACAATGTTAGCACCTTTGACGACTCAGGAATATCCTCCCATTCTTCAGCATTATTTCTTTTTCGTCTTCGACTTCCTGAAGGTTTAATTGTTGGATTCTAAATATGAACAGAGTTTGGAACAAGTTCACCATATAGTTTATTAGAAGGTCTGTTTCAGAATACAATAATTGCTTCAAAAATTACTACCAATAGACTATGTCTAGGTGTTAAAACAACACCTTGATGAGGAACCTATATATTACGAGAAATATGATATAAATAGCAATATGACTCATCAAGAAAAACTTCTGGATGACGTAAAACATCATTATTGTTTTCCAAATTAGCAAAATGAAATCAAAGATAATAACAACAAAATGTAACATTATTTGGAGATTCATGAAGAATATTTCTTCGTTCACCTTAACTATAATAATATCCCAAACGATGTAATAGCTGAAGAAGCTGCCATTTAGAAAATGTATATTCTTGTTTAGAAAAATATTAACATAAAATAGGTGTAGAAATTTGCTTGACCATTTTGTTAGCATTTAAAATTTTCACACGTAAAAGTTCTGAAACATTCTCATTGGATTGAGATTTCGGTCTTCCAAGAGTTTTATGTAGCGTAAAAGTACCGTCATTACATTTTTTCCAATTTAACATCACCTTCCCAACTGTACACTCAGAAATGCCTAATACCTCAGCAACTCGCTTGCGTAATGTAAGCTTCTGATAGTCTCTTTCTACAGAACTAACCTCAGAGAAATAATTATAAAGGTTAATTATCATCGATTTTTCATTGTTTGTTAACAGTGCAGCATTTCGTTTTAAAGAAGAAGAGGACATGATATAATAAAAAAATTTTTATCAGTTAATATCTTTTGATCATAATCTACTAATCATAAATTTTAGGCCATAATGTTTGGTTGCACATAAGATTTTTTAGCATAGATCATTTCCTTTTTTGGCGAGGTATACATCTTTTTGCACCGGACCATAGTTATAAATAATTTATAGCTTATTTTTGTGATTCTTTATCAACTTATAATATACATAATGTAGGATTCAGATTATGAAGCAAAAATGTAATTAATAAATATTAATATCACTTGTAAAACACATGGCAGGGCCCGGACACGGTGTCAAAATTGCGCAGAAAAATGGACTAATCACATGGCACAGTATATTATCGAACTTTCTGCTTTAAGATTTCGAAAATTACATAATCGGTTTCTTCCTTAGTTCCAGAAAACAGTAAATAATATAATAACTTACTTTAAATAGGTTGAGAAGGCAGATTTGTCGGTTAATCCAGATTTTGGAACGCCAATCACTTAGTTCATGCAACTAATAATTTACTCTTTGAAAACTCACATTAAAAAGATAAAGCCAAATAATTTATTAAGTTTCATATTAGAAAAAAGTAGGTATTCTGACGTGGCACAAGCAAAAAGTATAGAAAAAGAAAGAAAAAAAAACAACAGCAAAGGATCGATCTAAATATCTAGATCTAAAAGCATTAAAATATTCTAAGTTTCAAAAGATAAAAACAAAGTTTACTGGACGGAAGAAGAATTCTGAGAATAGCAAAGCGGATAGTGAAATGCACCCTAAGTAGGGCAAAGGAAGCCACCTCCTCCGTCACTGGCACAATCAATTTTGTTAAGCTGAATTTTCCGAATCTAAGCTAAATATTATTGAATCTCGATTATATATTACGGATGATAACTTTTTTTCGGAGTCCACCACGGTTTACAAATATGATTGTATTTACTAAGAGTGATAGGCTTGACTGCATCATCATCGAAAATATCGTCGAAATCATTATGTGATGTTTCTATATTTTCTATGGTCTTGCATATTTTCACATACATATCCTGCACAATATATTATAATAGGTTGTGATGCAAAATTCAAAATATTATTATAGATTATGTTAATGATCGGGTTCATGTAACTTCGAAAACCGTTACCATTGGTAACGATCAAAATCATGTGACTGAATTTTCCGAGACATTATGTCCCGGAAAAAATTTTTTTGATGACAAATAGAATTCATAAGCTCACCATGACTGATTTAATAACACTGACACATGTCTTCAGCTTTCCAATACTCTTAAGTTTCGTTGGCAACTCAAATTTAGGCCCGGGAAAAACGATATAAAAACCTTCCACCAGGTCTTCAATCAATAATTGTCCGCTTGTGCCAGCAAACTGTAAGAAAGGAACTCGGATATTCTTGGCCTGATTTTCATCGAGATTGTATTCTAAATAAACTATTTAATATAGATTGGTTTATTCGAGCTGAACGACATCGATCACCAATCGTTTTTGTTGCTGTAGCTTTTGCGGAAAACTCCCATTCTCCTACGTCAACGGGCAAAATGGTTCGCCCCTTGAATCAGTGTTGGTCACCTTTATAAGTCCAGTTATTTTTGACTGGACTAGGACCATAAGTCCAGTTACTGGAAATTATAAGTCCAATGGTCCAGTTTTATAAGTCCAGTTAGTCCAATTTGGTCCAGTTGGCCAACACAGGTAGAATGCATAAAGGTAGAAAGTGAGACACAATAGTGTAGAAATTCATCAGTTACGAAGGAAGGATCGTAACCAAATCTTTCTCCAGAAACGACAAATAGAGGAGAGAAAACCAAGCAAATGTCTTTTTTTTATCAACAAATTTGATCTTTCAAATACACTAAAAACGTATTTTGAAGTCAAATTCAAGTATGACAAGGATTATTATCGAAGATCAACTAAAATTAAAATCCATTAATGGGTTTTTCCAATTTTATCCATTATCATTTACCGGTTTATACACCTCCGCAATCATCATAGAATAATACCAATAATTGTTAGTATCATAAATATTATAATTACGGCTCCCATTTTACATACTAAATTATTTGAGCGAGCAACAAATAGTTATTTTCGCCGCACAACAATGATTAACGCATAACTATTTAACGAATACTGGTAATTTCCTGTAAATTTTAAATTCCAAATATTTATCATCCCATCACCCCTCTTCTTTTATGATTTTATTAATAGTATAGTATAATTTTTTATATTCAACTTCAGAGAATGTACACCTAAGAAACTTAAATATTTGAGGGTTCTTTTGTCCAGTTTCTAATAGTTCATTAAGTCTTTGCATGAGTAGTAATGAATACCATGTGGTTCATTTTACAAATTTTTGGCACGAAGGTTTGCTGATGCAGAGATGTATTCAATCACTTCAACTTTTAACTATTATATAGCAAGACAATTTATTGGGCAAATTCAGTTCCTTGAGGAGGACCATTAGGAAAAAAAAATAATAATCCAAGAATTTATTACTCGCTTTCCATGATGCTAATAAGTCTAAGCGAAATATAGTCATTATACGTATCGGTCTTCATTTGTAATGAGAATTTTAAATATAAATTTATTCTGGAGCATCTATTAGGAATTATATAAAATAAGACATTAAAGCGGACAAATAAGTCAATCCTTACATAAAATATATTATTGATCAAATGTTAAATTTATATATAGCAAGATTTTTTTTTGTTTATTAAAATTATACATTAATTGATTAATTGACATTTTTCATAAGTCCAAATTTTTAAAAGCAATTCTAAATAATTTTCTTTTTGATTACCAAGCATTGAAGTTACTATTTCACTAGATAAGTCATCATGTTAGCGCGATGATCTTTTGAGGCGAATGCTAAGCGGTTATGTTCGACACCTGAGTAGACTCTTGAAGCTTGTTTTTTGATTGTTTTAAGGTCAAGTTTATACCCAAGCCGAATGTAGTTGTTGAGATTAAAGTTGCAACGACGTAGTGTTTCATTTTATATTCCATTTTATATTCCACTTCTTTTAACTTTCGAATCCACGTGTACAACTTTCGAATCCACTTCTCTAATTTTCGAATCTAAGTCGTTAAGTTTGTTATAAATTGAATATTTAAAGTCTTTAAATTCTTCTTTAAACTCTTTTAATAAATAATCGCTACGATTACGACGAACATAGCTGAGGTTCGCAGATACATTTGTGTGTATATATATAAAAAAAAAAAAAAAAAAAAAAAAAAAAAAAAAAAAAAAAAAAAAAAAAAAAAAATAAAAAAAAAAAAAAAAAAAAA